GTGATTGGACTACAATCTCAATACAAATTAGTAAATTAAAACTGAGATTGTAGTCCATCACGGGAGCAAGCTTGGAGCAGTGGTAACTTTACAACACACACAGGGACCATAAGGAACAAAAGTAGCCAACCTGCAGAAGGAAGGACAGTGCCAGCATGAATTCAGAGATTATTTGGGGATCCACAACTGAGTGATACATACAATAAGACACCTTTTTGTTAATGTGGACCCCCTTTCACTAAAAATCACATCAGCATGCAGCTCTGCATGCCGATTTAAAATCCTCTTACATTCATTAGTTAAACAAATATTAATCTAAACATTGATATACATTGATCACTTAACCCAATCTGTGAATATCTACACACATTTTTTTGACTCCATCTCTAGCGCTGTGTTACAAATACTCTAGTTAAACAAATATGTTTTTCATTTGCTTACAAATAGAGTTCATCTACTTCCTGGTCCAATTTTGCACAAAGGATGTCATGTGCCCAAGCATTGCAACCGGGGAAGGTTACATCAGCAGAGCATTGCTGAGAAATCTCATTTGTAACCTCAGGAGATCTCAGGGAAAGGCATTTTCCTCTCCTGAGAATATGTGCATGGTCACATGTTCTAGTCACATGGGCCAGAGTTCCAGGAAGTAATAGGAGAGCTAGTCATCTGCCCTTAGTAAACATGGCCACTGCCAGAAGACTGGGAAAAAAGAGAAATAAAGTATGCAAAGAATACAAAGCAGACAATTATCTATAAGTATGTGTCTGTAGATTGTCACTAATAAACATTTCTAAAGGTGTGTTTGTTATTTGAAAGATAAGGTTAACGTTCCTTTGTACATAAATGTATTTTTAAGATTGAACTCCTGACATTAGTGTCACTTTAACATGAAAGAAAGAGCATTAGGCCATGTGCACAAAAGGATGCTTGCAGCTATGAATAAGGAGGGCACATATATGTAGTATATAGCTGAGATGCTGATATCATTTTTGACTGGAGTGCCATTTTCATGAAGTGCCATTTGCTGTTTTTACAAGCTATAAAAAGACAGCTCGTCAGTCGTCTCTTGAACATCAATTGATTGCAAAGTGTAAAAGAATATCCAGCTTTGCACTCAATGGATGCTCATGCCAGAGCTTCCATGTGGAGAAAAAAAGGATAATGTATGTCCAAGTGCTCTAAGAGTCTTGGAGCTACCTGAACACCTGTACTGTTGACTATGTTTTCCACTTTCAGTAAAGCATTGGGACTTGCCAAGCGGCAGAGGATCCTCTGGCACTGATTAATGCCTAACATCCTATGTGCTCCAGCGGTTTCCTGAACGGTTTAACTTCTTGTCTGAAGAAGGTTTTTTTTACCTGTTAACAGTTGCGTGCTTTTGTGTGTTCTCTCTAAAATGGGCTCTAGTGTCATCAAGCTATAGAAGTCCCAGTAACCTAGTATGAACTAATGTAATTGAGCGATATATTCACACAATGGCCTAAAAAAGGTTTACTTCACCTTTAGCAAAAAAAACCTCCATGCAGTCCAGCATCCCAGTACATAATAAAATTAAACAGCACTGTTTTTTTAATAGAATCTTTTTCTGAATCTCATACCTGTGGGCATTGCATGACCTCTCCCTAGCCCGTCAGAAAAACTCCTAGGTAGGTGACCTTCACCATTGAAAGTGTGCACAAACTCTGGTTTGTTCAGAACCTACATGGATGCAGAATGTGCTCCTTCTCCCTTCGTTGCACAACACTGAGTTCAACCACTGATGTGATAGAGGGAGAGCAGACTACGCATGCGTGAGTTTTGAATGAGCCCGAGCAGTTGTTCCTGTGGAACTGAGGGTTTGCTTCCAACATCAAGAGTGTACTGCCTAGTTGGTGGGTTGGGATCACCTACCTCGAGGTTTTTCTGACAGGTTTGGGAAAGGCCTCGCATGGCCTACAGGTATGCCATTCAAAAGAAGCTTCTATTTAAAAATCTGCCGTTTTTTTTATATACTGGTGATGCTGAAATGCATGGAAAATCTTTTGCCACAGGAAAACATAAGACAATTTTGTGACAACCACACTCCATGTTTCCAAAGATTTCTAGCGAATTAAATCAATCTGACAATACCAACCGTTTCTACCATACAACTGCAATTATAATCTTACCTACTAGATTTTCCCTTACAAAGAGTTCTGATCTCACTTCCATACTAAGAAAACGATCTTGGTTTAGAAAACATTTAAAATACCTTGTATTCTTTGTCCTTAAACGAGGTACAATTGTTTGAGGCTCTTCTGGGGTAGTCAGCATCATAATCTGACCATCAGGAAAGAATCTCATATACCTGTGTTATATGTGAAAACAGAAAATTAATTTAACTAAAAAAAAAACATAAAAACGTTAAAAGTCAAAATATGGAGAAAAAAAGGGTTTTTAAAGACCTGTAATATTCCACTTGGTGCCAGGCTCTGTAAAACCCATCCAAAGACTGCTCTCCTTGGCGTATATATGTAGTCTTGCTAATATACACACCTACAGGACAGCATACACATAATTACATGTAATACATTCTGTAGTTACAGATAAAATTAGTGACAAATGCTAATTATGACAACTTAACCATGTGTAATAAGACACGTATGACAATGCGGTAGTGAATTATACCATCAAACCGGACTCGGGGTCTCTCAAGAAACATCTGCCTCCAGGTAATGTAAGGTAGCAGTTTCACACAGTTTCTGCCCCATACTTTCAAGCATGCTAGGCGCCAGATTTCAGGATCCCTGAAAGTTACAAAAATATCAGTTACATTTGTGCAGCAGTCCAAACCCCCCCAAAAATACTCAATATAAATTTCAGTATAGACATGCCCATGCACCAAAGTGTACTGCAGCCACTGGAGGGAGGAAGATATCCATGGGCAAAGCAGTAGATGTCTATTTAAAGAAGAACTCAAGGCAGAAGTGTTCTTAACCCTTCCAGTGGGGCTACCCCTGAACTGCAAGGGTTAAGTGCTTGTTTTTGTCTAGGTGCTAAAAAAATAAAAAAGTTATACTTACCTGAACTGCCGAGCCAGCTGCCTGCTTCTCCGGTCATTGAAGCCTCTCTCCTATGCTGCAGCATTGGAATGCTCCTCAGTGTCCACACATCTATACACAGTGTACAGAATGTAATGAAATATGGGACCTTAGACCAGCGCAGTAAACCGTGAGAGAGGCTCCAAGGACCGGTCTAAAAATAAGCCGATTTCTAGGATCGGGCGCGTATAACTTTTTCTTAGCACCTAGACAAAAAAAACGGGCTACCCCTACACTGCAAGGGTTAAAAAAAATTCTGCTTCAAGTTGACCTGAAGATTTGCTTTATTATAGGGGACATTTAGAAATGTTAATTGTACTTATGCAGTACTCTGCAATATTCACCTTTTATCTTGATCTCCTTCTGAAAATCAGCAGTGCACTTCCTGGTATGTGAGCAAGCCTATACACTCCTGTGTCTACAACCGCATAGCTGTATATCTGCATTGTGAGATTTAAGGCTCTGCTAACTATGACTGCTAGTCTCTGGCGATTTGGTGATGCCAGTAATCTGCTGTTCACAGTTCCCCTTCAAGGAGGTTCTGACATAAGGAAGCAAAACCCTGTCCCTATCCAAGATGGCTGTCTCCACACACAGACAAAGTACAGAACCATGCATGGTAAGTCAATTATAGGCAAAAGATCAGCTGCAGTGAGATCACAGGTAATACTGGTGACTAGTCCTTTGTTCTCAGCTTTAGGCACATCTTCCAAAGATCATTTCCTCTTTTAACAGCACAAATATCCACTTCATTTTGAATTTAGAGAAGCCTTATTGTAAAGTAAGCAGTGTATTTTAATGCATCTGTATACTTATTTAAAAGAAAAGACTGTAATACCTTGCACAAATATAAAAGCCTTTGCAGACCAAGGATAATTGCTCTAAAGTTCGTAGATCAAGCTCACTGGAAACCACCCAGCGGAAAACATACATCAGTACCTCCATAGGGAGATCTGAAAAACAGAAAGCAAATAGTTCATATTGAAGCATCTGCTTCTAGCCATTTCCAGGATGATCCAGGATTATAACGGGTACTTGACTATGAAATATATATTTGCTGATTACAGACAGAGGAATACAAATGCATTTCTAATGAGAATATATACAGTAGATAATGAATTAGAATTCCTGTCAGGATAAAATTAATTGAACACATCTAAGGTTATTCATTCTTGCTTTTCATTCACATAAAAAAGCATATACATATAAAATGCTTTTCACTTCAACATTTGATTCTGAAATGTCTATGTTGTCTGCAGTTATTCTTCGAAAGCAGAAGTAAACCCTGGAAACAAAAAGCAGGTGTGGTCTTTTAGTAGAAGAGGCCAAAAGACCCTACCTGTTGTCTCCTTGTACCTGCAGTCAAACTTGAGCAGTATATGATTGAATCTGGAATCCATCTGCATCAGAAGCTTTGAAATACCTCTGGGTGAAGACACCATTCCCCTGACTCCAGGTGTTGTCAGCTGAGAAAGTCTGCCCGACAGTTATTCATGCCTGGGATGTGGTGGAGGGACAAAATCTGTTCTGCTTCTCTTAGAGCCACAGGGCTTCTGGTTTCTCCTTGATGATTGAGGTATGCTACGGCTGTGGCATTGACCAACTGACCAGCCAACCCACCATCAAACCCAGAACTCTCAGAGCAGAAAACTCAGTTTTGCTCCTGGACTGTAGAGTCCAAACTTGGGAGTGGAGTGTTTGGAGCTTCTCTTGCGAGAAAAACTTGTTGAAAACTCGGGGTACACAAGACAGTAGTGTCTTTAAGTAATTGGTAGTATTGTGTGCCCACAGCAAAGCACAGGTAGTGCTAATGGGCTGGAAAGATGGGGATGATGTTTCCGATCTGGAACAAGGCCAATAACTTCCTTAAGAGTGTAGTCTTTCTAAAGCAATATTAAGGTTGGTTAGTCTTTGCAGGGAGGAGGGAATATTTGGTAGCATGAAGCAGGGCAGAGGCACAGGTAAGTGTGTGTGTGTATATATAAATAAAGGTGTGTGTGTGTCCATTTAAGAAGTAGGGCGTCCCGTCACTTGGAGGAGGAGACTTGTCTGCAGGTCTGGAAGAATCAAGGTCAAAAATCTGCGATAGAACTGGGTTCCTAATTTAGATTTAGAGGCTTGGGAGAAACAAAACTCTTCCGAAGCAGGCTTTTTTAGACTGAGGCTTTGGTTTCTTTTGTTTGAACTTGGTGCTCTTTTCTCCAGTGACATCTTTAATAAAGTTGTCCAGAGGGGCACCAAAGATATGTACTCTAGCTAAAGACATACGCAGCAAGCATTTCTTGCATTGCTGTTTCGCACACCAACATTCTAGCCAAAATAGACAGGAGACGTATAATATCTGATAACCTGCCAATTCAGTAGTGCAAACCAGCAAGTATAAATGGTCCAAAACTGAGTAATCAGTAAAGATAATTGTATTCTTTCGTCCAAATAAATGGACACAAACGCTATGGCAGGATGCAGGGCAGGTCCTACCATAGTGAACAAGAACTTGGAACACACGGCTAGGTAAATCACCTTTTACTTCTGCTTTAAAAATAAGTAAATTACAACTTTTTACCTCTATGAAAAACATAACATTTGCAGCTGTGTATGTATGCTTCTGGGGCTTGGCAGAAATGAACAGCATTATGACAAAAGTTCTATTCATGGTCATATTTGTTCATTACTGTCATTAAGGAATAGCTTCATGGTGAGTGTAGATAAAATGCTGGATACATACAGGTTTATGCAGATACATAGCCTTTTATATACATTTCTAGTGTCCGTGCTCTACACACGTTGGCAAATGCTGAAAACAGCTCCTTTTACAAAGGTACAAAAGAATCAATAATCAGCACGTTCACTGGTCTCTCAGACATCAGAAAACACAAACAGAAACAAATCTACAAGCATACCTGAGATATGAGTCTGCGTGACATCATACTCTGGCTGGCACAATTTAAGCCTGGGCTCTTGAAAGGTCAGCTGCTGCTGGAAGTAGGAGAGTAAGTCAGCCATCTTGCTGTCATCATTGGCATCCTCCATACTGCAAGTACAAACAGTTTTTGCTTATACACAGGGAACTGATATTTTTCTGCCAAACAACCACTCAGAGTGTCAAAGTAAAAAATAATACTTTACAGTAGGGTTGCACAGATACCAAGCACAGTACTCGGTACAAGTACGAGTAAATGTACCAATACTTTTGAGCTCCAAGACTACACTAGAGAAAAATTCAAAAATTAGGAGGCAGCTGTCATTTGTAAGGAGCACACTGAGCTCCTGGGATTTGTACATCTCTGTTTTAATGTACGATTTTGTTTTTATAAATATAAATAAAGGGATGCACAGATACCAGTTTTGCGAGTACTGGTACTTGCCGAGTACGTACGAGTACTGATACATTTTTGTTTATTGTCATGTGACAGTTTTTCTAAAACAATACAGACTAATGATTTCAGGACAGTGGTGGAGTGCCAGAGCCAGGTCCCAGCTGCAACCGCTGCAACTCTGGTAGTTCTCATGAAAATGCCAAGTATCTGCACTGGTACTCGAAAAGTATCTGTGCAATTTAATACAAAAGTACAAAAATACAAAAGTGCTTTACTTCTTGCAGATAGAAAAAAAACTGCGCTAGGAATCAAATAACACTCTAAGAGCAGCTGTGCTTAATAGGCGAGTACACCCAAAATAGGAAAAAAGAAAATAGCACTGTGCTTCAAACACAAAATATTCCTAAAATGCTCAGTCGCAAACTCCATATCTTCAATACACTAAAGTACTTCCTGATATCTGAAGAGAGCAACATGGAAGGTATTCAACACTGACTTGCTAAAATAATGAGCTAGGTTAATCTGTGTATATTATTGCTTGCTCTATAGGTTGGGATGATTTCAACTTAGACTTTCTTCACAGAGGGTAATTGTATGCAAATTACAAACATTTCACATCAATTCCAGTTCAGAGAAGGCGCTCTGCAACTGATAAAACAAAATTATTCTAGAATATTAAAACAATTATTGTATTTATTGTCAATTGAACAAGATTCAAGGTCATCATCAACTACCTGCTTCAAGTAATGCTTTCAAACTACTATCCTCCCTGATAAATCAGACAAAAAGCCTCTACAATGGGAAGGCTGGGTTTACATTGCTTAAGCCAATCACTGCACCTAGTAGGAATGCAGCACGTTTCAAAGCAAATCTCTCTTCTTTCACGTGTAGAAATGACAAAGTATAACACTAGTGAACCTTCAATATTGCATGCCGAGTAAAAGGTGCATAGCCCTAAAATGCATCATCATTCTTACTGCAGGAATGTTGTACGATAATCCCAGTCTTCATTAAAGGCTGAATGTGTGACTTTACATTTCAAAAGACTAGAACTGCTCTTATGTTTTTTCCCATACAGTATGTAATACAATGTTGTGGGCCAGATTTCTGAAAGAAATTAATCATCTATTTTCCTTAAAACCTAATGTGTCAGATGTGTAAAACACTGATAGATGAGACAGCATTATGTGTGTTATGACCACATGCCTATACAGTTCAGAGAGCTTCTGTTTTCTTGGACATTACAAAACAGGTGACTATAAAGATGACATGAGCGAAAGAGGAACAATGGTGATCTTGATACATACAAGTTTTTCCCTTCGCCATCAGGGGACCAGCTGTAATTAATTTTAAACTCAATGTCAGGCACGAGCTGCATGGCTCGACGGTAAAACTTGATAGCTGTAAAAAAAAAAAAATGGTTTTGTGGACACATGTTTATACAGTTCTTACCTGTCTGCATAAAGACTACATTGTGTACAGCAAATACTTCCTGGGAGATGAAGATGACGAGAGAACTTTGGCCTAGCAAAATACTATAAAATGAAAGCAGCACAAACACGCCCACAGTCATGTGGTAGCAGATCCTATGATTAGTGAACAATGAAATGCTGCTTCCATGGGCTAAAACAGTACAGTGGAAGACAGCCAGCATTAAAGCAAGGAATTTGTGACATCACATAATGTTCTCATGTTATTACATAAGTGTTATACTAAAGAATCCAGTTATGAAAGTCACAAAGGAGTTTTAAATTTTTATACTGTTATTAAAATGTACAGGTTTTATTTGATCAAATTACAGTATTTTAGGCTTCTTATAAAGCCTTATATCTCTTGGTATAATGAAAAAAAACTACCCTTGCATTGGGGCTACTGCCGCATGACAAGGGTTTATTGCTTGTTTATATCTCAGGGGATTCCTTAAAGCAGATTTATTTACCTGATCCCCACTCCCCCCAGTCAGTGCGGACCTTACCTACTCTTCATTCTGGCTTGTGGGCTATCCCTCGCTGTCCTCTCGTATAAGGTAGGGCTATGGGGTAATGCCATCAGAGGGCCTCCGAACGGTGGAGCGGAGAGGGGCTGCAGGCACTGGTCCTGGAGCCAGCAGGAGCAGGGATTAGGTAAGTAAAATGCTTTACAGAATCTTCATAGACAAAAATGAGCAGTCAACACTTCTGGTGCGGAGACAGAGTTTGAAGAACTCCTGGATTTTTTTTTTAATTAACCCTTGCAGTGGGGCTACCCCGCACTGCAAGGGTTAACTGCTTGTGTGTGTCTAGGTTAAAAAAAACTAAGATATACCCACCCAAAGCTCCGAGCCGGCTTCTTCTTAAACCAGTCCCTGTAATGTCTCTCCCCCTCCTATGCAGCTGTCTAAGAAATTAACGTCAGTGTGTCCCCATGCTCCACTATGAGAGCCTGTGTTTTTTTTCCTTGGTACAGTTGGCATGCTTAATAACAAACTGGGTCAAAGCGTCACAAAGCTCCAGCTCCTTTCAGCTATAATGCACTCCCTTTTATTGGCAGACCATAACTACTTAAAAAATTCTTGTCCTTTCTACCTCCCAATGCTTGCAATGACGATAATACATCTGTCTTAATAACAGCAGTAATAGTAATAGCAACCGAATCCCAAATTGCAAGAATTGTAACATTCAAACACCCCCTCCTCTTTTCTTTTAATAAAGACATATTAATCTACACAAAATGATTATCAATTTGAACTAAGTTCAGTTTCCGTTTTACAACCCTGACAATAAACTGGGGTAATGCAGAATCTATTTCATAAAACCCATTACCTTCATAGAGTGCTCCATTTTGCTCCTGCTCTGCAGCTTTCAGAAAAAGTTCTCTGGCCTGTTAAAAAAATGCACATATTATGTTATTTCATTCATTCAAAAAAAAACTAAAATCTGTTATGAAAATTCTGGAAATATACACAAGAATTGCAGAGACAATTCCACCTCTCTACTGTATTGTATGCTCAAATGTAATACAGTCACAAAGCCCAATACATATCCAAAAATAGTAATACTTACTTTTACATTTAACCCTTTTGATTTTTTTTTTGTTGCACACACATTAAAATTCACATTTTAGGCCTGAAAATTGCTCAACACCCCAAAAATACATATTTTCTGAAAGCAGGGACCCTGGAGAATACAATGGTGGCAGTTCCAGTTTATGTTGCATGATATTAGCGCAAATGTTTAACAAACCCAAATTTTCAGTAAAAAAAATAGACAAGTGCACATAAACACAATATAATACTCAATTGTATGTAAATATAAAAGACGAGGTTGTGCCAAGTAATCAGATGCCAAAATGTCAAACTTCAAAATAGTGAGTGCCCGTAAAATAGGGAAAAAAACACGGTACCCAATATTGTCTATAGGCAATGCTTTAAGTGCCTTTAATGTGGAGTTAAAGGTGAATAATGGCAGATTAATTGCTCTAATTTCTCGAATATGTGCGGCAATACCTAATGTGTGGTGCAATCGTCATTTTCCTATTTAGCCAAACCCAATGTGAGTTTGAGTTAGTAGGTGTGTGTACACGGGGGCGGGGGACTTTATTAGACCCCAATTTCACTTTTAAGTCCACTGAAACTAATCAAGCACAGATAATGCTTGATTAACTTCTTCCCTGGCTTCTGTGGCTATGGAATGACAGCTCTACAACTGGAAGTGACAAGATCATAATTGCTTCTGGGTTCATTTACAAGAGAGTGAATCAGTGAACAGACTGCTCTTCCTCTCCTCTACCTGCAAAGACCCAACATGCCGGTCCCAGGCCCACAGAAAAGGCAGGAGAGCCCAGGATACATTGCAAGTGGGTGCGTATGTTTGACAGCTGAAGCACTTCCAGTATAAAATTCTCACAGTTAGATTTACACATGTAAACAGACTGCCAACTGCAATGGAGGCCAGGAGTCTGCTTACAGGGGTCCGCTGCCACTGACCTGTGGCATAAGTTGGAGGCAGCAAAAGGGTTAAAGGAAATCAGTATTGCAATAGAGACTGCCACTGCTAACCTCCTTCTTAAAATGCTACCCCCCGTTTCCCCGAAAATAAGACCTACCCCGAAAATAAGACCTAGTACTATTTTTGGGAATTGCTAAAATATAAGACCTACCCCGAGAATAAGACCTAGTTGTGACCATTCCCAGGACCAGTGGTGGCATAAGGGGGAACTTGAAGAGCCGCGGGAGAGAATCAGCGGTGCCAATGAAGCCAGCGCTAGAGGAAGCGAGGCAGCAGCGCAGGGAGCAGAGCCGCATAAGCCGATGCTTCCTCTATAGCGCCGTCTCCTGTCACAGGCGGAGTGATACCAAATGCACTCCGCCGGTGAGGAATAGTGAAAGTGCGCTTCGCTCATTCTGGCCAGCAATTGGTTAGCAAATTGCTCCTGATCACCATATTTTTGTACATGAATACATGTAGACTGTTGTACATGAATAAATGTGGATTGTTGTACATTAATAAAAAATAAAAAAAGACCTACCCCGAAAATAAGACCTAGTGTGTTTTTTTGAGCCAAAAAAATACAAGACAGTGTCTTATTGTCAGGGAAACACGGTAGTTACCTATCTAACTGTGGCCTCTATACCTTAAATCACGGTCATGTAACAGGAACACAACCAGTGAAGTGAGGAAAGTCTGATCTTCTTATCTTCATTTGATTTTGGCTCAAAGCCAAAGTGACTCAAAGTATGAAAAGTCTTTGGATCTAGATAACAGCCAGGCAATGCAGAGTTCCTTTAAAATGCCCCAACCCATGTTATCAGACACAAACTCGCACACCGAGCAGCAGTGACGCGACGCTCGGCGAGGTAAGTAAGATGACGCGCTGGTGCTGACTCGAGTATAAGCCGAGGGGGGCACTTTTCACCCCAAAAAATGGGCTGAAAATCTCGGCTTATACTCGAGTATATACGGTATATACAAGTAGCCACAATTACCATCTCCTCCTTGGCCAGCTCTTGCTTAGTTTTGGTATCTGAGACCTTCCCAACAGATCCTCTCAGAAATTTTCGGGACCAAGTCTCTGCTCCTGAAGAACTCCCTCCTGGAGTAAGTTCGGACATCCAGCAGGCTCGAAATACCTGCAGCTCCTCCTGTGCAGGGCAACATAAAAAAGAAAGTATTCTTCTATAGAAAATACAATGAACACAAAAAATACCCAAATGGTATAAGTATAACACACAATGAGGGGAAGTTAAAAACATTGGCGCAGACAGAATCTGGAGCAGTTGCCCATGGCAACCAATCAGCTTCCCTCTAGTTTGGTCAGTTAGGCTTTGAAAATGAAACAGAAGCAGATTGGTTGCCATGGGCAACTGCTCCAGATTCTCTTTGCTCCAGTTTTGATAGGCTGAAAATCTAATTGGAGGGAATTTATCCAAATTGGAGCAAAGAGAATCTGGAGCAGTTGCCCATGGCAACCAATCCGCTTCTTTGTTTCATTTTCAAAGCCTAACTGAACAAACTAAAGAGAGTAGCTGATTGGTTGCCATAGGCAACTGCTCCAGATTCTCTTTGCTCCAATTTTGATAAATTCCCCCCAATGAGTTTTTGATCCTTACTTTGATTCATCAATGAGAAAATTCAAACCGAGTTTGCAGTGACTGTAAATGCAGTAATCTGCCACTTGATTGCAACAGCAAGCATTTTCGTTGGTCTACATATAGTCTCAGCTTTCTTCTGTTATGCAAACAGTGCCATTGTGACCTGTACTATCTCATTCATCACTACTGAACTATCACTACGATGGGCAGCCTCACCTATCAATTGTGATGCACAGGAGGTAGGGGAAACAGCCACCAAGAGTAGCCCACAGTTTAAAGTTTCTAAAATCACTGACTACTACCTCACTTCAGTGACTTTTATTTTATTCTAATGGCTTGTAACATTTCGATATGGTTACAAAGTTTTGTGGCAATTGTGATGTTTAAAGTGACACTACACTCAGGAGTTAAATCTTAAAAATGCAATCAAGTAGTGATGGCTACTTTACACCACACACAGGGAAGAAAAGTAGCCCCCATCCAGAAGGAAGGATAGTGTCAGCAGCAATTCAGAGGTGAGTTGAGGATCTACAGGAGTGATAAAACAAAATACATTTTTGTTAATTGTTCAGGTATTTGTATGCATGTTTAAAATGTAACTCCTGAGTTTAGTGTCACTTTAATAAAATTAGACTTAGCCTAATTTAGGCCTCATTCACACTGCTAAGAGCTGGCCCGTACAGATCGGTGCGGCGTGCACGGCCGTATCAGGAAGGACAGGTGTTGCGTGTGATTGGACGCAGCAGCCTGTTCTTCTCTATGGGAGTACACGGCTGAACGCTCACCCGAACTGCACATTCGTGCGGGTGTCTGTGCTCGGACGCAGACAGGATAGTGTCACTTTAATTTTATTAAAGTGACACTAAACTCAGGAGTTCAATCTTAAACATGCATCCTGTCTGCGTCCAAGTACAGACACCCGCACGGATGTGCAGCTCGGTTGAGCGTACGGCCGCGTACTCCCATACAGAAGAGCAGGCTGCTTTGTCCAATCACACGCTGCACCTGTCCTTCCCGGGAACGGCCCAAAACGGCCGTGCACGCCTCACCAATCTGTACGAGCCGACATTCTGTGTGAATGAGGCCTAACACTGGAGGGTGTTGATTGAATTGTAAAGTAGATCATACAGACGGAGACCTGATTACTTAAAGGTGAACAATCAGACCACATGTAATTAGTGTCACTTTAACCATTTGCTGTCCGAAGCAATTCCTTAATATTTGCACACACATGATACAAATCTGAATTTTTGGCTAGAAAACAGCTTCAGACCTCCAAACAATATTTTCTAAAGGCAGAGGCTCTGTAGAATAAAAAAAATGCTAGCTGCAATTTTTTTATGTTGCACGGTATTTGCGCAAATGTTAATCAAACCTGTATTTTTAGGATAAAATACACAGAAACAGAATATAATACCCAATTATTTGGTAAAATATAAAAGACGGGGTCATGTTGGGTAAATAGATACCAAACATGTCAAGCCTTAAAATTGCTTGCACCCGTACACCGCAAGAAAACTACAATACTCAAAATTTCCCATAGGCATAGTAAAAGCTTTTACTGCTCATCAATTTAGTGCCAAGAGTGATTGATGGCCCTAAATGTAATACACATCACTTCCAGGTCTAGCGATTGGAGGAGAGATCAGTGGCTAGAAGCTTGCTGATCTCTCTCCGATCGGTGAGGGTAGACCCACTGTGCCGGTCCCAGGCCCGCACGGGGGATAGCAGAGCCCGGGGCAACCTACAACGGCGGGGAAGGGCACCCATTCCGCTGCACTGTACGAGCGCTCCGGCGGCTGTATAGCTTGTATCTAAACAGCAATCGCTTGCTGTTTAAAATGATGGTATAATTCTATGATGATATAATTCTTGGTATAACTGCTTCAGGACCAGGACGTATTTTGACTGTGGGCGGTCCTGAAGTCGTTAAAGTGCAACTGAACTGAAAAGGGTAGAGAGAAATTAGAACCGCTGTCCGTGTCCCCGTTAGGAAGATTCACTATTTGTCTTGATCACCATTATAACTGACAGTGAAAGAAAATCCCCAAATTTTGGGTTGTTATCAGAACCCAGGAATAGATAGTGGAAATCTTCCAATAGGAACACTAGTTCTGGGGACCCTGCTGATCACCAGGGATTTCCTGTAATTTGGAGGGATTTCCACTCACTTCCTATTGGACCGGAAGTGAAGGTAAATTTGCCATCAATAAAACACTATCTCACTTTTTATTTTACTATATGAAGTATAAGTACTTGAAACAGAGCCCTTTATCCCTGATGAAGCCACAAGAGTGGTAAAATATGCAGGGTTTTTTGTGTAACACTTTATTTGATTTTGTGATGGCAGCAGTGCACTATGTGAAACATTTAAACAATAGGGAACATAGACAAAGATTTACAAGGACATTTCTAGAGAAATAAGAGTACATACTTGTAGAGGAAGAAAGAAGATATAATGGAGATAAGAAAAATGAGTGGAAGGTTAAACAGAATAGTTCATTTAGGGGAGGAGGAGGTAAGAAAACAAAGGGAAGAGGTAAGTAGCCAAATGAAGCAAAGCATACAGACGCTGCTACATTTGGCCTGGGCATATAGGCATCAGTGACATCTGGTCACAATGGTATAGATCATAGGTAGGCAACCTTGGCACTCCAGCTGTGGTGAAACTACAACCCCCATCGTTCTGCTGCCTCTCGGAGTCATGCCTGTGGTAGCCAGAGTCTTGCAATGCCTCATGGGACTTACAGTCCGACAAAAGCTGGAGGGCCGAGGTTGCCTATCCTTGGTTTAGATTATACTCCACATATATAATAGGGCTTCATTTATTAAAAAAAAAAAAAAAAAAAGGAGCATTGTTTCTTTGTGTAATATTTAATACGATTAAAAACAACACTGCTTCCTTCTATTACAATAACAACCAGCATACACATACGGTACATAGGGGGAATAAAGAAAAAAGTTAGTGGACCTGCAGATTGGTTTCTCCAGATCTTCCATTTTCATCAGTCTTCAGGATTTCAGGGTAACAATCCTTATCACCTTCAGCCTGCAAAATAGGTTAGATAAAAACACTTAAGTAATATAACTCAATTCACAAGGAATGGATTACTTAGTAAAACATTTCAACACCTTGAAGGGGATTTACTAATACTGGAGCAGTAGACTGAGGCACACAGAATCTGGAGCAGCTGTGCAAAGTAACCAATCAGCTTCAATCCTCAGCTTGTTCAGTTAAAGCCCATTTCTGGCCAAACAAAAAAATCTACACTTGATGTACTCATTTTTTTTCTAGGGGACACTATTAAAGCTGATTTACTTACCAGATCCATGGTCCTACTGGCTCGCTACAGGCTGCTGGCCGGGTCCCCACAGCCTCTTCTCCTCTTTGGCTTAAGGGCAGGTTCACACCATTTTCTGGACCAGATCTGGTCTGGAAAATGGTGTGAACCTGCCATCAGTTAGAGTGCATTCCAGACCAGACAAAATGAGACATGCAGTATTTTTCTGGTCAGGTCTGGAACGGACTGCGCTGGTGTTAACAGAGGCCAGAAATAGCATAGGGATACATTAGGAGTCCGGAAACAATCTGGTCTGGAGATTATCTGGATGTGGTGTGAATGGGCCCTGAAGATCTAAGACAGGGATGGCCAAACTCCGGCCCTCCAGCTGTGGTGAAACTACAAATCCCATGAAGCATCTCTCTAGGGAGTCATGTATGTGGCTGTGAGAATTTTGCAAAGCCTCATGGGATTCGTAGTTCCACCACAGCTGGGGGGCCACAGTTTGGCCACCCCTGGTCTAAGAACTACTGACGTCATCATGCCTTATGCAGGTCCATTGACCTGCATTAGACATGAAGGTGCTGAAGGACACATCCACACCTGGAGCAGAGCGGGAGAAGAAGTGAGTGCTGACTGCAGCAGAAGCTGGGATCTGGTAAGTAAAACAGCTTGATCAGAGTCCCCTAGAAAAAATGAGCACGTAACCCTTGCAGTGTAACCCTTACACTTTAATAAAGCTCTTTTTTTCTGATCACCCCCCCCCAGAAGCATACTTACCTCAACCAGATAGCTGTGGCCTACAGGAATCTTCATTCCACTAGTCGATCCTGTGTAGTCAATCCACTAGCACACCAATGGAGACTGCCACAGCCAAGTGCATGCATCTTGTGAAGGTGCACTTTTCCTTTAACACAGCTTTTCAAAATAAACAGCATCTATTTCAGCTGATCAAAAAATGAAGTCCAAGCCCACCCAACAATCTTTCAGTTCTGCAGTTGCTTATTGTTCTCAGGCAGGGCTGGACAAACCCTAGAATCAGATAGCCAATGCTCCTTAAAAATGACAGCTGGCATTCAGCTTTTCTCCAGTTTTTGTCAATGAAGCGGACTTCCTCTGGCTTCTGGATTAGACAGACTGGATCCTGAATTTTATATTGTATTTGAGCCCTCACTTAGTTTTCTGGTGTAAAGATGGCTATAGACTATGGGGTCTATTCACAAAACGGTGAAGAGTTTGGAGAAGGCAGGAGAAATTAACAATTTAGGACAAAATAGCTGATTTGGAGAAAATCTCCAATTCAGCTCATTTTCCAGTTCAGCGATGTTGTCCTAGATTGTTCACTTCTCCTGTCTTCTCCAAACTCTTCACCCTTTTGTGAATAGACCCCTATGTGAATATATGTAATAACCCTGCTGTGGGGAACATTCCACTCATCCAAAATGAAAAAAAAAAAAAAGGTTTGGGCGTTAAGGTCCCAACACACTTTAATATTTTCTTTGTTCAACCTGCGGGCTGACGGAAGAAAATAGAACAGACTCTTCCATCAATGTTTAAGAGCGTTGATGGAGGAATCTCCTGCTGTCTTCAATGTATTCTGACAGCGGGCGCTATCCGAATACTCGAAAAGAACTGGCAGCTCACTGGCTGCCAGTTCTGTTCGTTTGAAGATTTTCCGAATGGCTTCTTCAATCAGCTGAGTGAGGGATGCCGACCAAAAGGGTGCTGACGGTGGCACCCACTGTGTGAATTTTGGCCAGTTCTTGATGACATTCGCAATGTATGGCCAGCTTTACTGCAGGTTCACACCATTTTCCAGGCCAGGTCTGGTCCGGAAAATGGTGTGAACCTTCCCGCAGTTCCAATGCATTCCAGACCAGACAAAATGAGACATGCAGTATTTTTCTGGTCTGGAACGGACTGCTCTGGTGTGAACAGAGGCCAGGAATAGCATAAGGATACATTAGGATGCATTTTGGGTCCAGAAACAATCTGGTACGGAGATGATCTGGATGTGGTGTAAATGGGCCTTCAGAGAAACTTTAATTTTCACACCATTTTCCGGACGAGATCTAGAGCATAGTGCATTGGGTTTTTGCTGCATTTTTACTGCAATTTTACCGCGATTGGAATTTAAAAAAAATTATTTGTTTTATATTTTTTAGCTTAAAATGGTCTTACAGGTGCGTTCCATGCACTTTTGATGTGTTCCAGTGCATTCCAGACCAGACAAAATAGGACAAGCAGTATTTTTTGGGTCTGGTCCGGAACAGACTGCGCTGGTGGGAACAGAGGCCAGAAATAGCATAGGGATACATTGGGATGCATTTCGTGTCCGGAAACGGTCTATTCAGGTCTGGAGGTAATCTGGATGTGGTGTGAATGGGCCCCAACATTAAACCCAGGAGGATTTTTTCTTTGTCCTGCAGCAGATCCTCCTGCTGAGCTGTTAGAACACATCGCAGTGCTTGATTTTTTTTTTTAAATAACATTAATTTAACTGTGGCAGAGCATTGCAACAGTTGGGACGCATTGCCGGGCATTGTGATACGATTAAATGTACACCCGTATCATTTTATCACAATATATACACAAACAATTTTTAACATAAGTCGCTTATTTACAGTTTTGCGTTACTTCATTTTTTTTACCGTTTCGCAAAAAGTGGAAATGTACAAATATTTGTTATTTATTAACTCAATTCAGTTTTAGATTTAGTCAGAAAAGTATTTCTTTTGTGCACCGATACTGATTTTAGTGTGCTTCTGTTCATTTGTGTATTTCTATTGGTTTAATATTGATTTGATAAACATTTGTGCAATTATCGCGGGAGCTACAAAATAAGTAGCACCATCTTTTTAATCTACCGGGCCTGTCCTTTCAGAAAATGTATTGTTTGGGGGGGAGGGTCTTTTACAAACTGGATGGCGTCCCGGCAACCTCACTGAATTCTGGGGCAGAAAAGAATGCTATATGCACTATTTTTTTCTGAATGCACCGGAACGCGGGCACTGGTGTGCCATGTGTTCTGGTGTGGCCAATCGCACTGCGGCCAGGCTGCGGTGCCACTGGCTTCAATGCACCGCTACGCCCACTCCAACCCCAGAACGCAGTAAGCCGGTGGGGATGCAATCCAGTGCGTTCCAGCACCAAATCTGCTGAAACACACTGGGGCTGCTGTGAACTAGCCCCAAAAGCTGCGTTTGAAAATAAAAGGTGAAACATTGCAGAAATTGTGTGGCCAGCTAAGGATTGAAGTGTTTGAGGCTCGGCAGTGAAGGGGTTAAGGCAAAGCACAGGGGAGACAATAGGAGTCTAATAGACTCATGATGTCGTCATAAAGAGGACCTGGAACCTGCACAATGCTATCACAGAAGGGGGTCTGTAAGCATTAAGTAAAAAAAAAAAAAGTTCTCTGCCTTCAGAAAATATATTTTTGGGGGCTATCAGTATTTTTCAAGCCAGATATGCGCAACCTGCATGTTAAAAATGTGGAAAAATAGCCCAGGAGCAAAGAGGTTAAATGAAAGCTGTAGATTGAAATGTCTGAAATGACATTAACATGATTCTATGAGATTTTAGTATTTGGATCCCTATATACACTGGTGTGTGATGAAGAGCTCATGGACTGTCATGTCAGGGGTTCCTGACATGACAGCTGACGGAGCCTAGCAGTCCCACAGACGGGCGTATGCTGTACTTCACCAGCTGATTGGCTAGCCTTCGTCACGTGACTCGAATGTATTTCTTACACAGTAAACACGCATTTTCCCCTCACAAATAAACTGAAAAACGAATCGGTCATTCTCCGCCTTCCCCCATCTCAGCGTGCCCCCCTCATATTACCATGCTGGGCGCGTGTCGGGTCCTCTGAGCTCAGCACAGTTCTCGGTCGGAATAACGCAGGACGCAGCGGGAGTCTGAGCGAGACCTGCGGGCGGCAGCCATGACTGAGCGGAACACCCGGGAGCCGAGCGTGGTGACAGCACTAGGACTAGCAGCTACACGGTGCGACACACTGGAGAAGGACCACCGGAACCAGCGAGAGGGAAAGCTGACGTCGGCGAGATACGATCACCGGAACAAGAGAGATCAATTAGTGGCTAGAGAGGCAAGCTGCAGAACCTTAGAGCTGTAAACATTGGCTAGAGCGGCCAGCACAGTGCATGGAGCTAGGAGCTGGAGGTGTGCGGAGAGAGGCGGAGCCAATCATTCTTAGTCTCCTCAGAACACACCAGTACCGCTCCAAGAGGAAAACACCAGCCAGACATGAGACCGTGGGAGGAATAACGGCACACCGGAACCAGCGAGAGCAGGGAGGAGTGTCTCACCCTCAACCACAGAGAGGAGGGCTCTGAGCGAACTCTGCTGTCTAGTACAGTTGGTGAGTTGTGCAGTTTACACATTCTCACTGAGGCTTTCTGATTGATTCTATAAGTAAACAGGCAGCCTGTGTATAATTGTGTTACAGGTCAACATATTTTGTTTAAAAATATATACTAGCGTTCTACCATCGTGAACATGTGGTGATGTTGTCCTGGTGTAGTCATGGAAAACGTTTATTAGGCTAAGATTGTCAACTCACAGCAACTTCATTTCCTATGGATTTGTGTGCTGAACTCTAGACAAACAGCCTAATACACAGATGATAAACAGAAATGGGATCTGCTTTACCTGCCAAAGGATTTGTATTTCTGTCCATCCAGCCCTGCGATTTACACAGCCCTGCCCTACAGCATAGTCCTGCCATGTAGGTGAGGGGGCCTGGTCTTCCCTGTTTCACTTATTGGTCTCACCCCCACCCTTTGACTTGACAAGGAAAGGACAAGCAGTTGACTGATTAGCTCATCTTTCTGCTCTCTCTTCCTATCAGCATGCTCCTTGCACTGCTGCACACCTGCTTGGCTCCTTGTTCTGCTCCCCTCCTCCTCTGAGCCCTGCTGTACATGGACTGCAAAGAGGCTTATACTGGGTCGGAGTCAGGTACTAATCATCATCATCATCATCATCATCATCATCATCATCATCATCATCATCATCAAGGGGCTGATTTATTATTGTTCTGCCCATCGCCCCTAGATGGCGCTGAGGAGCTTTTATAAATCAGCACCTAAGGGCCCAGTAACACCAAAACTGCACAAAATCGTATAAAAAAAAAATGCGTGTACATGCTTTTTTTTATTTTTATTATTAGGAGGTACCATTCCTCTTACTATTAAAAGAGATGTGTTTAGATGCATTAAAGGCCTATTCCCACCCAATGCACATTAAAAAATCCACAGACACATAAAGATTGGTCTTCAGGGGGGAAGTTCACAACAGTGTGTTGTGTAACACCCAATGATTATCTGCAGATTTTCTATGGTCAGATGGAAAAAGTGCAATACATTCCTCCATCTACGCTAAACTGTGTGGATGGAGGAATCTCCCACTGGGCCGAGCTTCAGGATTTGGCTAGTCGGCCCCGCTGGCTGTCAAAATACCTGAATCTGAGTCTGATTGGATGCAGGCATTGTTCAGGTGCTTTGAGAGCCAGCGGGGCTGACTAGCAAGATACTGAACCTTGGCCTATCAGATTATAATATCCTCAGTGGGAGTCGTACATCCGCACTGTTTAGCATGGATGGAGTAATCTGTTAGATTATTATTTGTTCAGCCTAATAGTGTATGGCCAGCTTTAGCTTTGTGTACTCAAGCGCTAACAATTCCATACTCTGTATCGCCATCACTGCACCACCATCTTCTAGGCTGCTACTTCCACATCTGACATCACATTTTCTGCTGATGATGTATCTTACATATGCCAGGAGTGGATCAGGAGTGCACACTGCATTATGTTTTCCCTGCAGGCGGAGTACATGGAGGAACATTTCTTGAGGAAAGAGTTTTTTTGGCAGCATAGGCATGAATGGTCTCTTTACCTCTATTTAAAGAAGAACTCTGGGCAGTAGAAAACATAACCCTTGCAGTGGGTACCCCCGCACTGCAAGGGTTAAGTGCTAGTTTTAGTCTAGGGTCTAAAATAACAAAAGCATACTCACTTGGACTTGGCTGGCTGCTCAATCAGTCCCTGCAGCTTCTCTTTCCCTTTGCCCCGGCAGGCTAAGAACCCGTGAGTCATCAAATCTAATACAGTGTATTGGAAGGTGAGGATACCAAGAGACTTTCCATCGCCGTAGAGGAGGGGGAAAGAGGCTGCGGGGACTGATCTAGCAGCCAGATGGGACCAAGGTTGGGGTGAGTTATAACTCTTGATTTTTTTTCTTTTTAGACCCTAGACCAAAACAAGCACTTAACCCTTGCAGTGCGGGCGGTAGCTCCACTGCAAGGGTTAAGTTTTCTACTGCTTGGAGTTCTTCTCTACCATTTGAGTATCGGTCCAAGAAAATGTCACCTTTCCTAAATGGTCAGTAATAGAAGTCGCCAGCACTCGAAAATATGTGCAAGAAAGGTATAAGCACTTTTATTGAACTGTCACAAGCGTCATTAAGCCAACATTTTGGGGCCATGCAGGGTGACTTAGTGTCACACTATGTTGCCCTGAAGAAGGGACCCTGCGTAGCCCTGAAACGTTGGCTTAATGACGCTTGTGACAGTTCAGTAAAAGTGCTTCTACTTCTTGCACATATTTTCGAGTGATGGTGACTTCTATGACTGACTGAATCTTACACAGCGCCATTTGTGTTTTCACTTCAAGCACCAAACGTCTGGAATTGAAAGTCTATATGCTATATGGAGTGCAGCAGATTTCCCGATACTTGTTGCACCTTTCCTATATGGTTTGCATTTTGTTCCATCTTCATTGGAGAAGATACAGTTAGTTTTTGTGTACTTGATGTATATTGAAAAGTTTACAAACTTTAGTTTCTGTGGGCTCTGCTGTTCCCGGTTACGGCTTCCTTTGTGATTGATTTTTGGTTTGTGGTGTTTGTTAGAATACGTTAGAATAAGTATGCATGAGATGCTGTGAATGTCTTCCTTTCAGATTTACAGTAATGTTTTGTGCTTTATTGACTTTGGCTGATATTCATCCTCCAAGGGCATTCCACTTTTGTCAGTGTATGCGTTGCTAAGTGAGGCAGCACATAATGTGCTCTGTTTTTTCCAAGGGTATTTGTTAGACAGGAAGTCAGCAGGAGATGCTCATTATGATGGCACACTGCTGAATGTCCTTGCTGCTGGTCTCACTGACAGATGAGGTAATAGTGAGCATTCCTTAGGCTCTGTATTTTCTTCTTCTTTATTTAGGAGAGTTGATCAATCCCTAAGTGGCCAGTTTATATTTATCTCTTGTGTTGATGTCAGTTTATGTCCTTCTTTCTGTGATTTGTATTTCCTTGATCATCTAGGTATTTGGTATTAGTCTGTTCTGTCTTGCTGATTTAGATGAAAACAGGATCAGTGTATAAGAATAATATACCATTAGTGGCATTTTATTGCTGTGTGTAAAGCACAAGTCCAGCGGCCTCTAACAATTGCCCGTTATCTTCAAGATTGAACTGACTGGTTGCTGTTTTCATTTCGTCTAGTATTGTGGATTTTCCTGCCCTTCAATACAGCATCATATTTGCCATAAAGATTAATTTAGCTTCTGTCTTACAAGAATTATAACTGACAGGGTTTGGTGGGCCCCAAACAAACAAGTATCTCTTTCAGTTATTCTCCAACAGGGTCTTTCAATTTCAGGCTCTTAAATCTGCTTACAGTCTCCCTGACACTATGTTCTATAAATAGCTACGTCTTCGTCATGTTATTTGCTCTAAGTTTGGCTCATGACAAGTTACTTTGTTGTCTACCTTTCTGGAAACCCTTCTACGTAGTTCCTCGCTGACGAAGACCGTTACCACTGTCTACGCTCTACTAAAGACGTCTATCCCTTTTGGCTTATAATAGCTCATAAGGGGAGGGAGTGGAAGATTCGTATACCTACCCTGGAGGCTGGCGGCTGGGAAGAGGTTTCCAGTACGAGGCTCGGGGATGTTATTAGTACTGCAGACAAACTTATTTATCATGGTCTATATTACACTCCTTATAAGCTTCAATGCATGGACCTTTATGACAAGGCTGGCTGCTTGTGTTGTACTTGCTGACCCTGTTGACCTATTTCACATCTTTTGGAGTTGTTCCCGTATTCCGGGATATTTTGTCTTTAGTCTATGACCTAATACAATGCAGGTTGGGTTTTCTCTTTCCCCGTTATCCCATCGGTGATGCTATTGCGTATCATGGAACCATACGTTTCCTGCTCTGTGGAATGTTTCCTACTTCAATTACTGTGCTTGTACGCCATCAAGGCTATTTTGTTGCAATGGAAAAAACCCCAACCTCCTTCCATTGAGATGTGTTTTTTTTTAGACTCTAGTAGTGTATAAGGTTGTTCCTAAATATATACTAATTTATGAAGCTAGGGCCTGTCCTAGGAAATTCATGAAGATATGGGGTCCTTGGCTGGGGATACTGATGCCAGATGCATGAACGATGAGTCTCTCTTATTTGATTTAACATGGTTTACTGCTCTGGAGCTATGTACGGCGCTTTGTGTCTTTGTGGAGTAAGGTGGGAATGGATGTGTGTTGGCTGTGTATGTGAGAATGAATGGGTGTGTTCTTTTGTTGTTGCAACCTGCATCTTGCAAATGTTGGGGCCATGTACCCTGTTTTTCTTTGTATTGAAAAATTGTTTAAAATTGATAAATACTTTTTGGGGGGAACAAATTTCAGTAGCACAGGCCAAAGTTTTTAGTACACATAATTTGAGATTCCAGTACCCTCAACCAAGAACAGTAACAAACCATAACTCACAGCAACCATAACTAACTGCAAGGATTAACTGCTCATTTTTGTCTAGGGGACCTTTGTAAAACATTCCCCACTCCCGCTGGCCCGAAGATGGCACTGGCAGCCTCTTCCCCCTTGTGCTTCGGCAGTTGACGGCCTGCTGATATCACATCTAATGTGGGGCCCATAGCCATGCATTGTACAATAGGATGCAGAGGAACAGTCCATGAACTGGAGTGGAGGGGAAGGATGTGAGCCTGACTGCCAGGGGTGCAGGGATTGGGTAAGTAAAAGACCTTTGCACAGCTTCCCTAGATATAAAATACACATTTTTTAAAAAAAGGAGGTTTGACTGGAACTAACTGGCCTGCAGTTAGTTGCTATGTGGTAAAACACAACCTTGCCCTCTGATGTAAAGAATGCAGTTGGCTATCTTACAGCTGACAGCAGGGATGTCCAGCATCATGTAGTGTTAACATGTCACCTTTACAGTGGATTTGGTGAACATGCTGGACGTAGGCAATGCTAGTTACTAGCATTTGGAAGAAGTTATAGCTAAGCAGCGGTTACCACACATCCATGCATCAATTCACAGCAACCAGCAGCAGAGGTTCAGTAAGCTATTAAAAATAGTATTTCTGATTGGTTCATACTGAATGACAGAATTTTGGTAACATGTTATTACCCTCTATATCTTGCTCTGTGTAACAGTTTTTAATTTATTTTTTACTTTCTGCTCAGAATATGACTGCATCTGACTGCCTGTAGTCAACTTCCATTTTCACTGTGCTTGTAAGATTCATTTTACTCCTAGTGGGATTTGCTTTTACTATTGCAATGTTCCTGCAATCTCTCACCTGCCACCATGAACCGTTATACAACTATGAAACAGCTTGGAGATGGCACATATGGCTCAGTTCTTCTTGCACGAAGTACAGAGTCTGGAGAGCTGGTTGCTGTTAAAAAGTGAGTTTTTCTTTTTCTTTTTTATTAATCACAATTTCTTTCTTTGCATTGCAGTTCATTAAAAGTGCAAATCTGCAGGATATTACATATGGCCTTATTTAAAAGAATAAAGCAATCGCCATTAAAAGGTGATATCACAAGTAGTTTAGTTTTTAGTTTGTTTGCTGATCATATGCGAGTGCAAATCTAAACGATACATACCTTTAGCAAATAATTGCTTAAAAAAAGGGTATCGCTGGTTTTGATAGAGAAGGAACTGGTTAGAACTAGGGATGCACCGATACTGGTTCTTCGGTATTGAGTACTGATATTTTTTTTTACTCCCTGATACCGAATACTGATATCGGAAGTCCCATTACGGAAGCTAGGGGGTGTGTAATGATTCGCCGCTTGGCTCTCTGATTAGCTGGGAAGCCGTCTCCTATGCTCCCATGTCCCCAGGTGACGAGGAAGCAGGGAGCCGGCTTTCTGGCCAATCGGGAAGCGGGTAGGCGGGTAATGACTCGCAGCCCTGCTTCCTAATTGGCTAGCTTCCTGGTGACAAGGGAGCATGGAACCGGCTTCCTGGCCAATCAGGAAGCTGGGCAGCGTGTAATGTCTCGCTGCACAGCTTCCTGATACCGGAAGTTCCGGTTTTGGGATAGGCATCAGGAGCATATGGGCAAGTACAAGTACTTACTGTAAATTGTTACCACATATCTATTCAACAGAGTTGATAAGTAATGTTCTAGTTCATTTAAATGTTCAATTAAAATACTTCAGATAACCTTGATGGGAGGCACTTTGCTGGAGGTATGGCTCAACTTCTGTAATCAGCTCCAACTCTTGCTTAATTGCTCCTTTTGATAGGTATGAAAAAAAAAAATTCCCAGCACGCTTACCAACCAGCCTGCAAAAAATAAACAAATTACACTATTAGGGGTAAAGAACAGAGGTTTCAGTTGCATGACTTTTGCAAAATATGTGGAAGCCACACTGCCTTGTCAAGGCTCCTCTCTGTAGTGTGGTCCTAAGTTTAATCTATGAGTGCCTCTATCTTGGAACATATATAGCAAAGGATGAATTGGGTGTAGGTACGCCAGGAGGTAGCCTATTCCTCCTTAAAGGCATAGGGACATACTAGAAGCCCAGCACATCACAATGGCAACTGAAGCCCCCAGTGTGTCCCCACATCAAATCCAACAAGTGAAGCAAATGGCAACCACACTCATCAATTTATAACTAGCTTTTAAAGTTAGGGTGCCTATAACTGTGCGAATTTTCGTCTGGTTTTTGAGGAACCAAACAAAAGTCACACAGTGTGTGCCACTGTCGGCACCCTTTCGGGCCAGCATCCCTCAATCATCTGTTCGAAGGAGCTGTCTGTAAAATCTTCGTACAATCAGAGCCGGCAGCCAATGAGCTGTCGGAATACAGTACAAACAGCGGGATTCCTTGATCGACGCACTCGCAGTGTTGATGGAGAAATCTGCTCTATTTTTCTCGGTCAGCTCGCAGGTTGAAGGACAAAAATAGAGCAGTGTATGGCCAGCCTAGGTTTGCACATGGACCTTCAATAGCTAGTTATAAATGGATCAGTTCTACAGTGTTGGCAGAAGTGTAGAAACACCAAATGTATTGTTTTACTGTTTGGTTTGCTTCAGAAAGTGTAAATGATTCTTTAGCTGCAATGTACACTTATACATGTATTACATTCTTTCATTTAACAGAATGAAAAGGAAGTTTTACTCTTGGGAAGAATGCATGAATCTTCGTGAGTTAAAGGTTAGCTTCCTCTAAAATATTGATTTTTTTTCTTTGAATCATTGTTTTTCTACAGCTGCCAGGGCAACTAGTTTGTACTGTGAACAACCTGGTTAGTTTGTTTGTTTTTTTCATACTTGATTTTCTATATTTTATTTTTCTATTACATATAGAGATTTGTAGATTACTCCAGAGGTAACAGCTCCTCAATTTACAGTCATTCTACATGCCTTCCTTTATAACTTAACCTTAAAGAGGGCCTGAATTGTTGAAACAGTCCCCAAAAATAGCCCGGAAAATACACGTCTACTTTAACCACATGAACATTCTAAAGGTGGCCATACACTCTACAACCATCGCAAGACTTTAGTCTTGCGATGGTTGTACAGGGATTAAAAAAACGTACGATCTGCCCATCTTGGACAGGCAGATCGCACTCTCGATCATCGCAAGCCCGCCCCCCTGAGTGGCGGGCTTCCGATGACCGCAATGCTGAACGGGCAGTGTGCGCGTGCGCACACCGGCCCGTTCGGCATTTGTCTTCCGAGCACCGTTCTAACCAGCCGAGAATCGTACGATTCCCGGCTGGTTTTCGAACATGCTGGTTCGACAGAAGACGTGCGACCGTACAGTAGAAACGGTCGCACGTCTCCGTTCACACTGCTCGATTATCGTACGAAAACCGATCGCATACGAATATCGTACGATAATCGTGCAGTGTATGGGCACCTTAAATGTTGGCCTTTTTGGAATTAGTGTGTGGGGTTTGGATGCATAGGTCTATAGTATATGAAAATGGAACACCACTTTAATGAAACTACTATTGGCAATATACTTTGCTTAGGCTTTGGCAAATATTGTGATTGAATGTTTGATCCCTTCCTTTCACTGATCAGTTTTCTAGATTTTGTTTATAGGCGCTGTATTTAACGTGTGATATCTGTGAAGTGTTTCTATGCTGACTTTCCTTTCCTTTTCTAGTCGCTCAGGAAGCTTAATCACCCAAATGTCATTAAACTGAAGGAAGTTATTCGAGAAAATGATCAACTGTACTTTGTATTTGAATACATGAAGGAAAATCTCTACCAGCTAATGAAAGACCGGTATGTGTTTCAGTAACTTGATCCAGACTGTTCTTAAGACACTTGAAAGTCTAGTCTGTTTTTTTTTTCTCGCAGGAAATAGATTGCATGAATGTTAACATAAAGGTTAAAGCAGTTTTGTCTTAGAAGAATGCATTCATAATTTGTGATGTTTAAATGAGTAATGGTTATACAGTTCCCCTGATATTAAAACAGTGTTATAAATAGGGAGTACCCTATAGGCTTTTAATTCATAGCTAGTTTTAGGCATCTTTATCTTAACATGTGGCATGCCCTTTTATATGTTTCTCCCTAGCGCAGTTAAAAAAAGACCTGTAGCACACCCTGCCATAAACCGTTTTTGCATTTTGATTGTTGCATACATTTTTATTTCATTATTTATTACGGGTATTTATATAGCGCCGACAACTTACACAGCACTATACATACTACACGTTGACATCAGTCCCTACCCTCAAGTAGCTTACAGTCTAAGGTCTCTATCTCACACACATACAGGTCCAATTTAGACAGGAGCCAATTGCCCTTCCAGCCTGTCTTTGGAGTGTGGGAGGAAACCAGAGTACCTGGAGGAAACCCACGCAAGCACAGGGAGAACATGCAAACTCCTTGGAGATAGTGACCTGACCGGGATACGAACCGGGGAGTCCAGTGCTGCAAGGCAGAAGTACACATGTTAAAATGCACAGTTAACCCCCCCCCCAAAATTGTGTGTGTGTGTATATATATATATATATATATATTTTAAATGCTGAGACCCTCTATAATGAAACGGTTGCAATTTTTCAGTAAAAAATACATTCAAATTAGTTTTAGTGCACACTAACAATATGCTGTAATACCCAATGTTTGGTAAAAACACGAGGTTGCGTCTAGTAAATGTATACCAAGCATATCAAAACTTGGTGGGGTACCCAAAATTGCTCATATGAGATGGTATAAAAGTCTTTGTAGGTCATCATTTTAGAGTTAACTGTAAATGATAGCCTTAGAATGATTGCTTTCACTCCACCATGTGCAGCAATATGTAACGCGTGGCGCATTCATCACTTTGGTATGCAAGCACACTCTACACGTGTCTGGGTTCCTGGGGGTGGGATCATTTTATTTTTTTTAAACTTTTTTTATTCCACTTAACTTGCTATCACAAGGGGGCTGACAAACACCTTATATGATAGCATTGTGTGGTAACAAGTTCTGTTTATGGCGACATCAGGGGGTCACCTTTGCACTATATTGAAGCTTAAGGAGCACCAAACGGAACCCAGAAGTGCTCAGAACATATCGCTTCTGGGTTCATTCTAGCTAGAGAACATCTGTTTGCTGATCTTCACCTGCCCTCTCTGCTAACGCACGCCTTTGGCCATCCAGGAAGGGCTGGTGAGCCTGGAATATGGAATACACCCCAACTCCTTCCACTAGAAAGATGACAACCGGCTGTGAAAGTGTAAACAAATAAGCCGGTGCTGCTGCAGAGATCTGGGCATGTTTTGGTGGCAGGGAAAGGTTAGAGTAGTGCAAGTAAACCTGTATTGCTGTTCACACACTGCTGTCAGCGTCTGAAGTGCCTGTATGCAGCAGGTCCTAGCAACGTGGCTTAGGGCAGACATGTCAGACAGGTGTTTTCTTTGTCTTCACATGTCCACTCTCTCAGTATTTTGCCCCCTTTTATTCTGTTATTTAGTAATTTACCAAAGTGGTTGGCCATATAATCCTTTCTATTATTTGACTTTAAAAAAGTGAATTATGCACTTTTAAGCAGATGCCAATAACTTTATGTAACCATTTAAACAGTAATTGCTATTTTTTCTGTGTCTCCCCACAGGAATAAACTGTTTCCAGAAACCACTATCAGAAATATCATGTTTCAGATACTTCAAGGGCTTGCTTTTATACACAAATACGGTAAGAACTCTAAAAAAACTATGTCCATATTTAATTTTTTTTTTAATTTTCCCAGAAGGGCCCTTGTGAAACATTGCCTGCAATATACAATAGGTTTCTTCATAAACTACAAGTACTGCTTCCCACAGCTTGCAGGGATACCTTTTTTTTTTTTGTTTTTTTTTGTTCACATATTTAAAATCTATAAAAAAAAAAAGATGCATGTGCGGGCTGTAGACCTAATTTTGCATATTTAATAATAATCTGTTTGCCTCAATCTTTCTTGATTGCTACGCCATCCTGTCATTATTGTTCAAGTATATGAGCACCCTAATTGTTAGTATATATGAATACCTAACTTTTATGTTAGGCTTCTAACCCCTACAGTATTTAAAAGAAGCAGTGCACCATATTCTATAGATTAAGGACAAAAAGTAAAACCCTAATAAACATATGATGCACAATATTACATATTACAGTATTATTTTAAATAGTGTCAACTATTCATGTTCCCTAATGACAATATTGTTTACAGGGTTCTTTCACAGAGACCTAAAACCGGAAAACCTCCTTTGCATGGGTCCAGAGCTTGTTAAAATAGCAGATTTTGGACTAGCACGAGAGACCAGATCAAGACCCCCTTATACCGATTATGTGTCAACTAGATGGTAAGCCTGGATTAGCAAAATACCGGTAATCTTGCACCTCTGCTAGTAGTGCCCCGTGTTAATAAAAGGTACCCACCGATAATGCTGTTGTGTTGTGTTGCGTTCACAGGTACCGAGCTCCTGAAGTGCTACTTAGATCTACAAACTATAACTCTCCCATTGACATCTGGGCTGTTGGCTGCATCATGGCTGAAGTGTATACTCTACGCCCTCTCTTCCCAGGCTCCAGTGAAATAGATACAATATTCAAGATTTGTCAGGTTCTAGGCACACCTAAAAAGGTATGAAATGGTGCATGGATTATTGTAGGTCACTCATTTTAACTATGTACCATTCAAACATGTACTTTGTAAGAATTACAAAACCTTCTGTTTTATCCAAGGCAGTTTATAACTTTAAAATAGTTCTGCTTTACCTTTTAAGTAAAATAGTCAGCACCCTAAACATGTGGAATAGGCTACAGCACTACAATTCTGGGAGCTAGTGGCTCTTACACTTACTTTTACATGCTCTCTCCAGCATGGTATGGGAGCATGCAAATTTCACCACATTTTGGTAGTATAAAGAGCTTGCCTACCTTTTGGGCAGAAGAACCACTCATCATACTGATGGGCCTAAGGGAACATACATGTGGTGGGTAGAGGTGAACTCGTGATACTGTCAGTACTTGTAGATACAGTATTTCTGTATGTTCTAGTACATTCAAATTCAGGGCACTTGGGATGTTGGAGGAGACATTGAAGTGTAGTTACAGTGCCTTAATTGTGGTGCTGTACTTTGTACTGTAATTAGGCTTCTGAAAGGTTTGGTGTAATATTCTATTACTTGAATATTCATTCTTTTACCCAGACTGACTGGCCCGAAGGCTACCAGCTTGCCAGTGCAATGCATTTTCGTTGGCCTCAGTGTGTTCCAAACAACCTAAAAACATTAATTCCTAATGCAAGCAGTGATGGAATCCAGATCATGCGCGATATGCTTCAGTGGGATCCTAAGAAGAGGCCAACAGCTAGCAAGGTGGGTACTGTAATCACACTAAACTAACTTGTGTAAAATTATGTTTTTAAATTCTCTTCCTTACCCTTAAGTCATCCTAAATTGAAGTACTAGAAGCTGTTAATGTTTTTTTTTTTTTAACCAAAGGTTATATATTATATATAAATATGGTTAAAGGGAATTTCCAGATCCTGGTGGCTCAAAAATGCAGCTCTAGAATCAACGAAGTCCTTCTCAGTGAAGAAATCAGACCCTTTGTTTCTAATATGCAAATATGACTTCTTCTATGTATAAATAAAGGTAGAAACAGGTTATTAACACAGTAACACATTCATAATAATGTTTAATGTGGAACTCTAACATTTTGCTTTGGTGCATTGTTGTCTCATGTCACCATATTTTTAGTTCTGATATAACAGATCTTCCTTTGGATTACTGACTTATTTCTGGCTGTGTGACACCCAGCGCCCCACAGCTGTTTCCTGTGGGAGCCAAATGTATACACATTAGACTATAGAGGTGACATCACTATGCTCCCAACACTGATGCTGGATGGGGTTTAATGAATTGCAGTCGCCCGACCTGCTTGAACCAGCCCTCCTAATTCCTGCCCTCCAGTGCCCTTCACTCTCCATGCTCTCCATGAAATGCCTACAGTGAAGAATAGGCTATGGGCATTGATAACGGAACTCAATTACTCCCCTTTCACCGCCCACAACTGCAAACATTAAGGCTCAAAACTGCTCACAATAACACCCAGAACCCACACCTGTAATGCTCATGGCCATCCCTGAAACTACAGAAGTTCCAAGTATCAGGCGACATGTAGTTTCAGCTATTGGGGGGAGTGATGTCACATTCCACCTAGCAGCTATACAAGATAATAAAAGCAAAACGAACAGTGCAGTTGTGATTAGTTGACAGAGACTGCATATATTTTTGTGCTGAGTAAGTCCTTCCACTTTAACATAAATATAATTGTACAGAATATACCTAAGGCTAATCTCATGATAACTTATTAATGATTGTGTGAACTACACCTTTTAAAATGTTTGATGTATTTTACAGTATATAAATTCTGTGCTATATTTTTCAATGGTAGGCTCTTAGACACCCATTTTTTCAAGTGGGTCAAGCTCTTGGAACACCTCAAAGAATTCAAGAGTTAACAAAACCACAGAAGGAATTCCAGGAGAAGCAAATTCCTTTGCATAGCAAGCCTGTACCACCTGCTCAACCTCCTCCAAAGTTTCATGCCAGACTCTCATCCCGGGCCCTCCAGCAAAGTCAGTTAAATGGACATCCTGCCAAAGTGAGCACATCCATAACAGATTCTTTAGAAGGGTACCAAGAAAGAGGCTCCATCAGCCACCCACTGCTGCCAGCACGAAGCAACCAAGCACCGCCACTTGTAAGGGACAAACTTTTTAAAATCTTTTTTTACAGTTTTATTAAATCCAGTGTTACTTGTCTATATTTAACAAAAAAATATATATTTTTAAAACGTAAGCAGTAGTTACAAAAATAGTGAAATTAAAATCTAGTTATTCATAAGATTGTATTGCCTTAAATATATAAAGTATCTATATTTTTAAAGGTTTAAGTGGATCTGGATGGGCAAAATCAAAAATGACATATATGATGCAGTCTATCAGCAACATTAACACAGCAGTGATGATGCCAATGCAGATCACCACTTACATCCTCCATTTTTACACAAGTCTGTGCTTCTTGGCATGTACTTTGAACAAATCTAGCTGGCAAGGATGAAGCGTATATTATGAACGTGCTAGGGTTGTAAGATATTTGTAAGGTGTGATCACTGAACCAATAGGGAAATCATAGAAACCAATCATCTAATGCAGTGGTTCTTAACCTGTGTAACTTAGGGACCCACATTTGTCCTTGGTCATTTAGTCGTGACCCAAGTCGCACTGCAATGGAATGCACAATAGGTGCGATTGTGTGGTACAGTGCATTATTTGCATGAGACTGTGCGATTAACACACTGTACTAGTGTGAATGGACCCTCAAAAACATAGACACGCACAAACAACCACATACACAATTTGACACATCCACAGACATTCTCATACACACTCCCAAAAAATAAAAAAACTATTTTTTTATTTTTTTTAAGATCCACCCAGTCTCTCTACCTTGTGACAACTGGAGTGGATCCTCAGCTTGGGGTCCAGTGTTGGCTGCTGTGCTGTGACGGAGCTCCACCCATATTTGCATTGTTTGTACAGCTCCCCTTGCACACCCTGTAGAGGTGCCAGGAGCCAGAGTGTGATGTCAGTCCAGTCCAGGCACTTCTACAGGGCACGTGGGAGCTGTAAGCAATGCACATATGGATGGAGCTCCCTTTTGGCAATACTTCCAGCCCACCCCACCTCATGCTGACACGCAGGGCCGGGCAGCATAATTTAAATGGCTGCTTGGTGCGAGAACTGGCGTTGCTGCGATAGGGGGAGGCTGAGGAATCTCTCACCTAGAAAAGTGGAAGACATGGGGTCGCGGCCCACTTTTAGGTCACGGCCTACCAGTTGAAAACCAAGGATCTAATGGATTTCTATCTAAATAGAAGCTAGTAATTGTTTTTGGAGTTGTAGCTAGAAATGTAAAACAAAATGCCATTTTATTTTCAGAAAGGCACCACCAATACAGAGATTGCTAATACAGATCTCAACACAAAGAATAGGAGGCGATGGGGACATATTACGAAAACGCTTAAGGTATCTGATGAGTGGGATGACTTAGAAGATGTTGATATCCATTCTTCAGTCACAAAAACTGAATTACAGCATGAAAAACGCAGACCAAGTGAGGATGCTCTTTGTAGGTAAACTGAATTTGTCTTATTACTTGGAAATTGGTGCTGTGGGACAGAATAGGTTATATGCCATTTCTTCTAGAGAAATCAGTGTAGCATTTGTTTTCTTGTCACTCTACATTTTAAAGACGAAGATGAAATTTAAGGGTTACAGCTTTAAAAAGAAATTATAGTGATTTTCAGTAAGTTGTTTTTGCCATATTCCCTTTTTTTTAAAGTGCTCCTGTGCCCAGACTATGGGCATTAAATATTTTTATATTGTTATCCAGCAGTAAAAGAACTCTAAAACAAACAATCCCTGACCTCTTTAGCTGCTTGCACTGTGAAGAAACTCTCGCAGACCACAACAAAGGTCGGGTTTCAGTCAGTTCCTAACAGTTTAGAGACCTCAGCTGTGTGTTTACATTAGAGGGTTGGCAAATCTGTTAAGATTCTGGTGCAATAGAATTGTAATTGGGAAGCAGGCTTGATGTCTGTGCCTGTGTTGTGAGTTTCTCCACAATGCCTGTAGCTATAAAAGTAAATAATGGCTTGTTTTTAGTTCCTTTTACTGCTGTTTAGAATATGTAAATATATGTGCATAGTCTGGGCACAAGTTCGCTTTAAGAATCATAGACTAGCCTCCAAAGGCAAGGTATGTATCTAATGCAATGACTTTGCCTAACTGCCTAATGAATTTATAGATAAAATATCAGCCACTTGGAGAATATATTGTGAGTAAGAGCAGTAATGTACAAATATGGTGTAGCACTGCAAAGTAGAAAAAGGAGCTTTCAATAAGGATTGAGCAAATCTGCTTGCCCCCATGTTCATAAATAATTACAAGCTAACTAGAAACAAGTCCACACTGTGTGATCATTCTCAAATCATGCATGTTACGCACAAGAACTATTGTATACAGTGGAGAATTTTTAGAATTGTTTTAAATAAACGAATATAGTTTAAATTTTTATACCTATCTGTATGATTGAAAGTCTAATGCCGCAATTAAACTCACCATTAATAAGATAATTATATTCTACAATAACCAGGGATGGTGTTTGGATAGTATAAACCACAATCAGTGATATTCAACACTTATTGCCAGTAGCTGAATCCAGGTGAAGACCGATCCTATTCCTGCCCTCGAGCCATAGCTCTAGAAATACTCCTGAGTCCCTAGTGAATCATCAGCATCCGTGAAACAAGGATATTCTTAGTAATACAGCAAGAAATGTCACCTGATTGAGGGAAAAACAAAGGAAAGTGCCAAAAAGACCTTTCTCAAAAGGCTGCTAATTATCCCAGGATAAGGGCATAGTCGCTAGTGGACAAGTACCCCAAAATCATAGAGACATTTCCTGTTTTACCCTGAGGATATCTGCCACAAGGGACCACAGTGCTCTGCCCACTGACAGCCAAGTGATATGTTGGGTCCTCCTCCAACAACCTGCACCTGCTCGGCAGGGCCAAAGGGGCACCCAGAGGCTTCATAGGAAGGACTCCATATTTCTTCTAAGTGGGGGAGTCGCAGCAATACCAAACTGCTTTCCAACTAAATCTGACCTAGGAGACCTACCCAGAGTTCTGGGGTACCAGACAGCAGCCCCAGAGACCATTCTTCCATTGTCCTATATGAAGGAATCCTCTAAGTAAAAGATCCGTATCAGCTACCTGGTGGATAGGCTGAGTAAACCCACTACATGGTCTTTAGAGTTCCCAACACCCAATGCTCCTATAATGAAATGTAGGCTTGCTATGAACCTTTCCCGCCCAGCAAGAGGCTATCATGGCTTTTTTTCTATAAAGATTACCACATATCGATAACATTATTTACATCTAATTGATCATGTTTACCGGTGCATCTAAAAGAAAACCCTTAATAATTGAAAAGGCTATAATCAGTGTTTCTTATAACCAGAAAGTCTAAAATAAGCCATAGCAACCAATCACATATCGGCTTTCATTTTTCCTAACTATACTACTACGCAACTTAAAACCTAGAGCGTGGCATGTTTGTTTTTAAGCAAGTGTTTAATAAAAACCTGCATTTGTATTTTATTTTTGGAGCGGGGGTGTATAAGATGTACTTCATTTTCTTTGAATCAGTGTAATTTAAAACCTTTTACCTGGGGTGCAGGAATTTTGCAGTTGTTGAAAATTGTTTTGTTTATCCAAAAACAGCTTTGAACGCATTTTGGACTTGAAGCGAGAAGACCATGATATACCCAGACCTGTGCAATCCTCATTCTCTAGACAGGACACTACAGCCTCCAGGAGAATGTCTGCAAAACAGCATTATTTGAAGCACACCAGATATTTGCCAGGTTAGTTTTAATTGAAACCTGCATTATTTAAAACTGTGGCTGTCGTTTTTGATAAAAAATTTTAAGTTTTTTCCCATTTTTTTTAATTCATAGAATTCAAAATAGATATGTAGGGGGCCTGTGTGATTTTCTATAGAAGGGAACAAACCTTGTTTTAAATGTGATTCTGCTGAGATGAGTCTCGGGGCCTGTGTCAACAGGCTTCAATGGGAAAATGGAGCTTGCATTTGGGATCAGTTTGAGATGCTTCTAAGATCATTCAGAATTCATTGCAGGTGCAGTTAACTGTATTCTTCCCAATAGTTTGAGCCGGCATGGTACACTGCAGCTGTCACATGCCAGCTCTATAGATGGGAAAGCTGAGCGATTTACAAACCACTGATCACTCAGCTCACTGTCTTCTCCGTGCAGAGAGCGGTGACTCAGTACTTGGTTTTCATCTAGACATCATTGTACTGCATCAGCCTGCTCCACTTTCTTTTTTTCATAATCTGGTGATCTCAGAACATACCTGCTTGTCCTGCTGAAACGCACAATGGACTAGATAAACAAAGATTTAGCAACTGTTGAGGAATTTGAGTTGTTGCACATGACATCTTATGTTTGCACATCGCGTGTCAACTTCTTTCATATACCGTGTTTCCCCGAAAATATCTTATTTTTATTTATTTTTTCATGAAAAAAGACACTAGGTCTTATTTTTGGGGGATGTCTTACCTGGCTGCAGCTGTCGAGCTCTCCGCTCCGATGCAAACAGGTGGGTGGGCATGTGTGCGGGCGGGCGTGTTGTGTGGGCGTGCGGGGAGGGAGGGAGCTGCGGCCGCTCTTAACATGTAAAAATCAATTACATGTGCAGCTACCCCGGAAGTAAGATCTAGCGCTATCTTCAGGGATTTCTGTAATATAAGACCTACCCCGAACTAGGTCTTATTTTCGGGGTAGGTCTTATATTACAGAAATCCCTGAAGATAGCGCTAGTTCTTACTTTTGGGGTAGGTCTTACTTTTTGGGAAACACGGTATATGACAAATTTATATCTTGTGTGTCCTTGTTTCCTTAGGAATCACAATCAAGAGGAATACTGGAATGAATCCAAGTAAAGATGTAACTAGTACCTTTAATCCGTGGCCAAATATTAAACAGCCAATGAAACCTCTTGGTGTGCCTGCAGGTAATATTTTTTTTTATTTGGTTCTATAGTGAAATTTGTAACCCCATTTAGATACCAGTAATATTCGTTGCTTGGTAGTATTTATGCTATGGATGTTTATTTTGTAAGTTACTCTTACATTGTGTATTTATTTGAATATGCAAGTGCTTTTGTAGTAAATGAAGACTAAAATGTATATCTATATCTTCCACTATTTTCAGGACACTCTGGAATGAACGGAGCAGCTGGCGGTTACAGTTCATCTTTCTTAAAACAAGAACTAAGTTCAGTGGGACCAAAGGCACGTTTGCCACCACTTACAGATCCACTGCCCAGTAAGTTTAATCTTGACCATTGGTATATTAGACTGACTGAGATTTAGGTGAATAGGTTGTGTGGTGTTACATCCAAACATCACATTACACAGTAATGAAAATGAAACCTGGAGATGCATACAGTGGTCATAGTTTATATGCTCAGTACTTGGTTTTCATCTAGACATCCTTGTACTGCATCAGCCTGCCCCACTTTCTTTTTTTCATAATCTGGTGATCTCAGAACATACCTGCTTGTCCTGCTGAAACACACAATGGACTAGATAAGCAAAGATTAGCAAATGTTGAGGAATTTGAGCTGTCACACATGACCTCTTATTTTGGCACATTGCATGTCATCTTTTCTCATGCACCATCATCCTCTTTGCACAATACTGCATACCTCTATTGAGCCAAATATTGACAAACTACTTTGCGGAACCATTATTTGGTGCAGATTGTTAGACTTTTTGTGAAAATTTGCACTTGGGATTTTTTTTTGCTTTTGTTACTAGTCGCAGCTTTCTTTTCAAACCCTTCAAATTGTACTATTACTTGGTGTATCCAAAAGACTATTACAAAGAAGCAGGGGACCCTCATCCAATATTCTGTATATTCTACACTCCACCTTCCTTTCCCCATTTATATACCATTTGTATCCAAAAGAAGCTGGTTTCTATGCGCCAGATATTTTGCACACTGACAATAGTTTATCTGGCCTACTTTTTGTTTGTTTCTTTTTTGTCTCTTACATACTGAACGGCAAAATATCAAGAAAACAACAGCAGTAAAAATGTTCTTGTTGCTGCAATTTATTAGTAGCTCCATGCTTGACTTAAAATGTTATCTCTTATGTCAAAGAATTGCCTAACAACAGTTCTGGGTTGTGTAAATTATCATTACAAAGCTGTTGTGTTATGTGCAGTGGTCTGCTGTACATAACGCCAAGCTTCTGGGCACTGAGGAGAGGGAGAGATTGGGCTTGAGCAATTCAGTTTTTTGTTTTTTTTTAAATCAAAAATCAGCTTTATTGCATAAAGAAAAACAGGGTACAAGGGTACATAGAGGCATAGCCCCAGGAGCGCGATAACATTATCTGCAGACATCAGAGGTATAGGGTGAACTTCAGTCACAGTGAAGTTATCATGACATCACATAGCAGAGCTGCTCAGTTCCAATAGTACGTCCGACACATATCTACCATAGGCACCTCTGGTGTATCTACTGCAATCTATATGACATTTAAAAGCATGCGCCATGTGTAACGTGAGCTTAGTATGGTGTATAGCAAGACTCAAGGCTAGAGCATTCCATCTCTTGTGTGTGTCAGTTGTATCGCATATGTGGTTTCATGTGAACAAGAGGCCTGCCGTGCTCAGTATCTAAAGGAACAGGTTTATTGGCCTCCCGAAGGCGACGCAGGCGAGGGTTCTCAGCATCAGGAGGAAAGTCTGGGTCGCCCAGCACCGGGATTTAGGAGTATTGACCGATTTAAAATGCGTCTCCTGAAGGAAGGCCACTTGAGTGCCCGCTCTCTTCAAATCCACCAGAAGCCGGGATCTTTTCTCAGGGACGCCTAGCCCTTTGACGTTGAACGTTGTGATGCGCAGTGTGCCCATGCTGGCTAGGATGAAGGGGGCCTAGAGGGGAGAGGGGGCAAGGGGTAAGAAGAGAGTGGGGAGGGGAGAGAAGGATCGTATGTCCAGTTCAGTGATCACAGAGCTCCCCTAAAGCATGTCTTCACGGCGCCATGTCCAGGCCACGCCCCCGCAATGCAGTTTTTGGGTCGCATCACCTGCTCACTATCCTCCAATCATAAAATGTCTTGTCATTTTTCAAAGAATACAAGATATTCTGTGATTGGAGGAGAGATTGTCCTATTCCAGGCCCCCTCCTCTCTTCCTCCAATCACTGAATGCCTTGTATTCTTAGAAAAAATACAGACATTTTGTGAATTCAAAATAGTAAGGAGGGGCAGGTGATGCAACCGAAGCACTGTAATGCTGAAGTTGGATCTCCTCCTCTCCTCAGTGCCCAGAAGCTCAGTGTTATGTGTAGGATTCGGCATGCTGCAAGGTAAGATTTTTGTACTGTGCAGCAGCCCTCCGCACATAACACCCAGCTTTGAAGATCTTACTAAGTTGTTCATATAGGAAGCCTATAATTTTTTTTCTCTGCGCAATGTATTATAGTCTGTTTTTATACAGTTGTAAACAAGTCTCAGGAGAACATTCTGCAGGGACAGAGTGTTTATTATTTAAGGAACAACAAATAGGACATTGAAATTGACAATTAGTATACCTAAATTCAAATGTTTTGTACTACAATCCTTTTTGTAAGTCATTTATTTTTTTCTTTATCTTTTAGACTTTGAGTCTCTGAAATCGGATTTGTACCAAAGACAGTCTGCCTTCAGCTCTTCATCCAAAAACTCCCCTGTGATCGCCCCTAGACCGCCACCTACGTTTCAGCCAGTCCATGGCAGGACAGACTGGATATCAAAATATGGTGGGCACAGATAGCAAAAAATAAGCACTTTATCTGACTGTTCTATTACTGGCTATGCAGTGCCCAGGAACTGACATTTTATGTTGCACATTTAAGCAATCTACAGCATAAGAGGCCTTTTTATGGCTAGCATATGTAATAACATAACAATACCTGACAATACTGGGGTATATGGGGACTATATATTAACTAAAGAAGTTCTAGGAATGCGTGCCATTATTGCATTACTACAGAATTGAGTACCAAAAGGTTTAATAGCTCATGTGATTAACAGCATAGGATACCGCTCATAGTACTGACTCTAAAGGCCCCTTGAAGTTTATGTTTACACATTTGCCAAGTCGTTATTTTAGGGGAGACATTCCAAAATAGGGTTCTCCTATTTTTTTCTTATTGTATATGCATTAGACTCCAGCAAAACTTATTTTATTTCATGTGTCATCAGGTATAATCGTATGAGCTCAAACTATGGGTGAAAAAATGAATTTTTATTCACATAATTGTAAACAATGGTTTCGAATCTGGGATCTTCAGTGATTTTATACAACATTCTGGTTTGCAGAGCATTGCTGGGCAATGCAACACAATTCCCTTCACTATTTAACCTCTGTCTGTAACGCAAAGTCAAATTTTTTTATAGTTTTGTATAGAATGTGGAACCTCTGTCCGGTTTTCGATGCTGTCTGTGTTATGCTGTGCTGATTCAGCTTCACAATTGATCCTGGTGACCAGAGAGTGATGGAAGATTTTTTCTCTATTCCTGTTCAAACATTCAACACCAATAGGTAAACCTGTTCTGGTGATGGCTGTCTAAGAGAAAATGTCCCCTCACTTTGGAGAGATCGCCTTTTACTTCTTCCTGTGTATCTATCTGGGATAGGAACGGAAGTAAAATTTCCCCAAGGGGACACAGAACAAATAAAAAAACAGGAATTTTAACAATTGCCTACTCTATCCAAAAAGAAAAAACAACAGTTTGGCTGTACATGCACCTAGGGCTTGTTCACACCATCTGCAGACAGGAATGTTTTTTTTTTGTCTGGTCCAAAAATGCATGCCGAATCATTGCTATAGTAAAAAGTGAGGCTAGTTCACACCATTGCATTCAGTTCCAGAACGTTTAAAAAAAATAGTACTGCATGTGCAATTTTTTTTGGGTCTGGAATGCATGCAAACGCACCAATAAGTACTAGAAATCCAACTGAGACTAAAAAAAACAAAACACTGGTATGCATCACAAACATACATACCCACAGTTCCAGAAACATATCCAGAGATGGTGTGAACAAGCCCTTAAAGCAGAACTAAATCCACTGATTTCTTTTTTCCCCAAAACAGTTACATTGAAGACATGCCTTTGGTGATAACTGTAACAGTGGCCAGCGTACTTGCATCAGCTCTCAACCAAACTTTTAAACCCAAATGGCAAGTGTCTAGCTGATCACATTAGCAGCACTATGGCAACTGCAGATTTAAATAGAGGCTAAAGGTGCCCATACACTGTGCGATTATCGCGGGAAATCCAGCGATCGTACGATAATCGCAAAGTGTATGGAAGGCGTGCGACCGTTTCTACTGTACGGTCGCGCGTCTTTTGTCTAAGGAGCATGCTAGAAAACCAGCCGAGAATCGTTTCGATTTTCGGCTGGTTTTTACCATGATCGTAAGATCAATGCCGCACGCGCACACTGCCCGTTCAGCATTGCGGTCATCGGAAGATGATCACAAGTACGATCTGCCTGTCCAAGATGGGCAGATCGTACGTTTTTTTAATTACTTTACAACCATCGCAAGACTAAGGTCTTGCGATGGTTGTAAAGTGTATGGCCACCTTAAGATGACGCTTTTTTCAGCTGTAAAGGATAGGAAGGTTTAGTTCTGCTTTAAAGTGTGCCTGTTAGGAAAGAAATCTGGAAAGTGCCATTTCTGACTTGCTTTTGAAGGTGCATGCTCCAGCTTTGTCACCCACATCCTTGATTAACTACTTAGTGAGTCACTGACCAAGAACAAGCATCCAATACAGGAATTCTGATTTGCTGCATATTTGTTGAATAAGTAATTCACTAAGTAGTAAAGCAATGACTGAGATGACAGCCCTGGAACATGCATTTGGCGGCTCCCTTATTTCTGACTTAATGGAACATCTCTTCCCTCTAAGTCACTGCTTGACCTAAAGTGAAGGAAACCATCAGAGCCTGTAATAAGACCAAATCCTTTTTTGGTTGTCATACGCTGTTTACAACACATCCTTCTTTTGTGTGAAGCCGGCTTCCTAGCCAATCGGGAAGCCAGTTCCATGCTCCCTCGTGGCACTGCCACTTAGAGGGAATCTCCCTCTGTGTCTGTCAAAGTAGAATGCACATTCTGTAATTGATATGCTTTTATGAAACTTTTTTTTTTCTACTAAAGATACAAGTATCTTCTCTTTTGGTAGGAACTAGTCAAAATATTTATTTTTTTGTTGTGAAAATAACTTTCTTGGACGTTAAAAGTCCTGAAGTACTTTAATGTAACAGTTTTTTTAAAGTATACTTTGTAAATTACCTGGACTGTTTGTTGTCCTGAACAAATGATCTAACACATGAATTTAAATATAAGTAAATGGATTTCAATACTGGTCTATGAAGCCTTTTCGAAGAAGCTGCTTTTTTTGACTTAGAAGCTGTAGACAAGTTCCACGAAGGTGACTTTACTTGCAATGAAGGTAAATAGGTTCAGCTTCAGTGGCATGAAATTAAAGTGACAATAAACGCAGAAGTTAAATCTTAAAAATACATTCAAGTACCCTAAATGTTAACAAAAATGTATCTTATTTGTGTATCACTTGGCTGTAGATCCTCAAAGCATCTCTGAATTGGTGCAGACACTGTCCTTCCTTCTAGACGGTTGCTACTTTTGTTCCTCATGGTCGTTGTATGTGGTGTGAAGTAGCCACTGCTCCAATATCACTCCTATGATGGACTAGAATCTCCTGTTTTAGTTTACTAATTTGTATTGAGATTGTAGTCCATAATGGGACTACAGCTTGGAGTGGTGGCTACTTTACAGCACACACAGGGAAAAGAGAAACAAAAGTAGTCACCTTCCAGAAGAAAAGGACGGTGTCAACTCCAGGGATGCGCCAATACTGATTTTTCGGCATCAAGTACCAATAATTTTTTTTTTTTTGGTACTTCACGATACTGAATACGGATACTGGCTAATCAGGAAGCTGGTGTTCTATCAAAAGAACACTGGCTTCACGCTCCCTCGCGACACAGGCAGGGTCATGACCTGCCGCTCGGCTTCCTGATTGATCAGGAAGCCAGGCTGCCTCACAGTGTCGCTAGGCAGTGTGAAGCCGGCTTCCTAGCCAATCGGGAAGCCAGTTCCATGCTCCCTCGCGGCACTGCCACTGCTATTCAACATCAATTCAGTCATGATTGGAGGATCTACAGCTGAGTGATTCACCAAAAAGGGACAGTTTAGTTAATAGTTAAGGTACATTCATGCATTTTCAAATTTAACTTTTGAGTTTAGTGTCCTTTTTAAGTTGCTTTCATCAAAGGCTTCTTAGACAGGGGTTGAGCTTTGTAACAGATTCTTTTAATAGCTTACTTCACATCACCATTGATGTGTGTGTAGAATCTTTCGGTCTTGATATGCACTAAATAAGCTACATTGCTACATTGCACAGATGTTTCTAGTAACATAGAGCATTGACTATGTTCTTTCACTGCTTTTAAGTGCACTGCTGGCCACAGTCACTGTGAAAGAACTGTATATCATTCCCAAGAGTATTGTCTGCTAAATTTGGATTGTTTTGATGTTTTATACTTTCAGAGCTCTCATAAATTGAGTGTTTATTTCTAGATTTAGATATGTTGAGTCACGATTACTTAGATCAGGGGTAGCCAAACTCTCCGGCCCTCCAGCTGTGGGGAAACTACAAATCCCATGATGCATCTCACTCCGGGAGTCATGTCTGTGGCTGTTAGAATCTTGCAATGCCTCATGGGATTTGTAGTTCCACCACAGCTGGAGGGCTGAAGTTTGGCTACCCCTGACTCATGTTAGTGATATTGTGCAAAAATGTGAATGCCTAATAAGCATCCACCTTATACAGAAGATCAATTAATCAACTCTTATGTTGGGTGGAGTGCAGATATTGAGTTTAAAACAGATTTCAGTTTGCACAAGCTGGCTGAATTACATAGTGCAGAGACGTCTTGCCATAGGTTGTGGCTCTATAATGAATATGTTTCTAGGTCACATACTACACATGCCTGCTGCCTTCCTCAGTGCCTTTTTCATGGATGTCCCCCTCTACCAGTTAATCTTTACTGATATATATATATATATATAATTTTCAGATGTGTGCAGTATAAAACTTGGCTTTGGTGTAGGAGCTTTATGTAATGAAGACCAGTCACTGCTGCTCTCTTTCCTACTGCACCATGACTGGTCTTGTATCTGCCCCCTCCTGTACCTCCTGTAGTTTTCTGCAGGCAGCCTGAAGGAAGGGGGCTCTTGGGTTGCTCCCACACTTCTGCTCTGTACACAGGCTATGTGCAGCACATTGATGATGTCACTGCTACTATTCCAAGGTAATCACTATGTTTGCAAAGGCATTTGGGTCACACAGAGTGGATTTATATCTGCTGTAGCCATTGAGTAATATATTCGAACATTTTTTTCCCCCCAGAGTTCAGCTTTAAGGCAATGTGGGTTTTGTCACCAGATGACAGATGCATTGAATGTGCCTGACTCCTAACACTGTAGGGACACATGTTTTCAGCAAGTGAGAGTCCCTTCAACTGCACTAAAAACTAAACTGGAGACTGACATCCCTGTAAACTGCTTGGAACACTTAACTTTCCTTACTGACAGTCTTGGTTGCTTCATTGGTATGGGGTCTGGGACCACTGAAGGAATCCAGTCGCATTACTTTGTGTCACTGGAATTCTGCATATTCACAGCCTTGATGCTTGCAAGCACACACAGTCATTCTTAACAAGGGACTAGCATTCCTGAACAGGCACAGTGCAAGTACCCAGCATCCCTCTGTGTTTGACATTCACATGACATGTGCGATTTCCATTGCTGGCTGCCTGCTTACATAGCCTACCTAAGTAGATTTTTCTCAACATCCAGAATCGCTGAATTGAGGGCATGACTTCTGTCATGC